CATAAAGAATTTGCAGAAGTACTGGAAAATTAAAAAAAAATTATAGATTATAAGACAGAGAAAACAACTAAAGTAGAAATACAAGTGACAAGCCAAGAAATTGACCTGGATAAGGACTTTTTACTGGACTTACAAAAGAAGTTGGTTAAAGTCTTGAAGAAATCTTCGAGATGGGAAAAAGAAAAATGGAAGAGATAAAAAATCCTATGACAGCATCTGAATGAACTAAAGTTTAAGATTGTCAGAAGCAAAAGGAAGGAGTACAAAGTTGATCAAGGTTAAAGAAAGACATTTTTAATCTGGGATCCCTTTATGGACTTTTTGCTGACATTAGGACTGAAGTATTAATGATTTATGGATTTGCGTATGGATAAGGAGTAGGTTATGGGAAGAAGAGAAACCTGCATGTAATATAATAGAGTGATATTTTATTAAGTTTGTTTGTACTTATTGTGAAGATCAGAAACTACTTCTTTAAATATTTTTTTTCTTATTTTCTTTTTCTTTCTTTTCTCTATTTTTTCTGTACACCTTTTATTTTCTTTTTTCTTTACTTTTCCTTCTGAGTTTAGTTTTTATTTCTATTATTATTATTATTAAAAATTTCACTTAAAACTATTTTTTTTAAAAAAGGAAATTCCTTATAGTATGACCACTGATAAGTACTATTAGATCTTTTCTGAAACCAGTCTATTCCAACAGTGTCTACTGAAATTCCCAAACTTCTTATGCCACCAAAAATTTACTTCATTCAGTGAGCATCTGGTAGGATTCTTCATAATTCTGGTGGCATCAAAATAAGAAGCCATCAAATACTCTTGTATTGTTTTGGCATCCCAGAACTAAAGCTTATCTGAAATAGTTCATCAAAGCCTTATGTCTCTAAAAATAATGTCTCCTTTGTTGACCTTCACACCTTGCAATTTCATGGGCACTTCCATATAACTTTCTTGGCAACAAAACAGACATCATTTGCCATTGTCTACTTCCAGCAGGTTTTCCTGAATACTCAGTTTAGCTTGTAGTCCTGGGATTTACTCATGATCTCCCATCCAGTACTAACTAGGTCCACCCTATTTAGTTATTTGACCATCCAAAGTCAATTGATGATGCCACCATGGTCTTATGTCTATCTGTTTTCTAAATATTCCCATTAAGAGGATTTGAAACACAAATAAAACAAGGACATTATTAAATAAAGTCCTTACCCACCTATTACCTACCACTCCACTCTCACACATTCAGTAGCTTTCATGGTGAAAATGTACAAAAATAAACTGCTATACAAGGGAAAAAAAGCATTTTCCCAAGAAAACTGACAAATTTGGTATTTATGTGGTACTCAAAACCTTATGCAGATTCACTCATTAGGTTACGTGGCCCAAGTTCTTGCTGCAGGTCAACTTTGCTGCTTATATACCTAGAACCTTCAACTTCTTTCTGAACCTCAACTAATTCCCAACAGACTCTATTCCACTGAATTTCTCCACTCAGCACCAGGGGGAACCTCTAAAGCCAATCTTCTTTCTCATGAAGAAACCTTTTCTCCCCCCCTACAGTGTATCATTTTCCTGCAAGGAATTATGCAATATATACAGGAGCTTATGAAAACTATGCTGATGAGCTCTTGAATGAGTCATCTATATTCAGGTGGAGTGATTATTATCAATACTATTGTGAAGGAACAATCTTGATTGTAGATATTGCAGCTAATTTGGGGCATTTCAACCACTTGATTATGTGCCAACAAGTCAGTGCCAACTTTTAGTTGGCCACACAGATTAACCTTCTCCAGGATGATCTGTCCCCAATGGGGCTGTTCAGGTCTTCCAATGCTGTTTCCATCACTGCTATAATCAAGCCCATCTACCTTGCTGCTGGTCGTCCTCTTCTCTTTTCATCTTTCCCAGCATTATGGACTTCTCAAGGGAGCAGGATCTTCATACAATGTGTCCAAAATACAGTAATTTAAGTCTGGTCATTTGTGCCTCGAGTAAGAACTCTGGATCGATTTGTTCTATAATCCATTTACTTGCTTTCATGGCTATCCATGGGAGTCTAAGGAATTCTACCCTGTTTCTTCAAAGTCCAAATTTCATTTCCATTATAAATATATTATACATATATATTGTCAGGCCTAGCCCAAGGAACTCCAAGAGACCATGTAAATTCAGTCCAGCTATGTTTATTAGCTACAACCTC